ATATATATATATATATATATATATATATATATATAGCTTACATCGTTCTATGCCATCTTCCTGAAGATGGCCGATTAAACAGTCGAAATTATTAGTATTTATAATCGTCTCTACAAGTCAACTATGTCATATCACGTGACGTGACATGGTATCAGCGACGGATTGTAATTTCAGACCTTCGAACTGAAGGAAAATATGTGGACAGTGTGAAAAGGAGATACGAGGGACAAAATGAAAATGGAAACAGGAAATGGGACACACTAAGAGAAGCTTTAGTGACATCAGCAAATGACATCATCCCGAAGAAGAATAGATGAAGAAGAAAAAAATGAATGGATCACAGATGATATTCTCGACATGATGCAAAGGAGACAGAAAATTTCATCAAGATACGGAACGGAATACAGAAAACTACACAAGGAAATAAGAAACAAATGCAGACGGGCTAAAGAAGAATGGATCAACGAAAAATATGCAGAAATAGAATGCGTATCATTGATAAAGAAGATGCATAAAAAAATAAGGGAACTAACAGAGCAGAAGACATGCTCATCAACAGGCTGCATAAAGTCTAAGAATGGAAAACTCATATTAGAGAAAGAAAAAATTCTTTAGCGCAAGAACGAATATATTAAATATCTTTTCCACGACGAAAGAGAACAACCGGCAATACACAGACATACCGACGAGTCTAGGACAATAAAATCAAGCAGGTAAAGAATTTAAATATCTGATTGATGTTACTTTCAGCATCCCGACTCTAGAGTTTCGTAGACGGACCCTCCAGTAATCGTCCCGTTCACTCGTCAGGGCAATAAATGTATGTGTGAGCGCGTGAGCGTGTGTGAGCGCGCACCTGCGTCTTTTACAGTTTTTGCAACCATTTGATTGGTAGCCCGGGGCCGATAATTTATCCTAGCATAAAATCGAGACGTCTCCCGTCTTTTGGAAACTTATTTTCGCCCTTGGCGTTAAAACCAAGGCCAGACGAATCTACATAAATCTCGATAAATTTATACGTATGAGTAGACATGTGAGTTTGCGATCTAGAAGGCTAAAATCTAAAATCAGGCTAAACTTGCTTCTTTTACATTCGCACAAATATCTTTTACAAAAGCACGAATCAAACTCCCTGTATTTTCTGTTATCGCCAGTCACATTAACTTTTTCGTTGTTGCTGATTAAGGAAATTATGTGTAAGTCTTAAGCAATCGATTTTCCCATAATTTTTTAAAATGATCATTAGGTGTTGAGATGTTGTGAGTTTCCCGCGTGTCGGTGTATGAATCAAGACAAACACAGTTGTAGAGGAAAATACTGGTATATTTGTAAAAGCAATTAACAATAGAGTGATTAGTAGAACGAAGGTTGGTTAGTACGAAACAATATCCAAAGTCTATAGTCCAACGGTATGTAACGGGTAAGCTTATCTGGACTGCTGACGCTGTCTCTCGCTCCTCTCTCTAGAGCTGTCTTATATAAGAGGGACCAGTCCATTTCTAGTTAGAAGGTGGGTGCGCCCCAACATTAGGGCAGGTCGATTTTGGAACCATGGTATGTAAAAATTGCGGTTTGACATGATAAATAATAAAACAAAATATTTTTTGCAAATTGTCACCGTTTTTTGAGGAAATGAGTTTGAAGATTAAGTTTAGGTTTAAAATCATAACGTTGGAATTTCACTGCGCTGGTCCGAGAAAACCTTACAGCACAACCTTATAAAATTATAATTTACTGAAGCTTTAGAAATCGTATATGGACAAGATGCATGTTACAAGAACATTATTACTAAATCATTGTGCCATAAAATAAGGCTATCATTTATTTCAAAGGAAAATTATACTAAACAATTTAGCAATATTATGATGTAATGTGTTATACAATGCAGTGGTTTTAGTGGGATTTGCAATAAACAATGCAAATTTAAAACATTTTGTGTCTGACAGTATTATGGTCTTCTATACACATTTATTTCTTTTTTGTTTTTAGTAATTATTATCTAACAAAATCTTATTCATTTAGTAGCCGTTTTTGTAATCTTTTACAATTCTTTTACAGTTTTTACTTATCGAATGCAGTAAACAATGCATATTTTGGTTGTGGTGATCCATAATTAGAGTTCTGGTTTGAATATATTTTCCATTCAATGTATCTAATACAAAAGAATATCAACTTTATTTAGATCTATTTTTGATATTGTAAAAATCAGAAGTCAGTTTGTAAGCAAAATTAGGTATTTCTGTACAGTTTTCAGACAATCTTTAAAAGTAAATGCTCAAAAATTTGTTAAAGCTATGCATCTAATCTTGGATGCCTGTACTTATCACATTAAACATTTTCTAAACAAATTAAAAAATCAACCTACCCTAGTGATCATAGCTCTCCACAGATCAATTTATCTGTTAATTACCATGAATTTTTAGAAAAAAGACGGCAATAGTTTCCTGTTGCCTTCTCCGCGTATTTGAATTCAGAATACTCCTGAACTTCTTGCCAACCAAGGTTAGAGAATTTAGTTTGACCTGCTATTTAACCTATTGCTGGAGGGAGAAGAGGTAGATCCATGACTTTCCCAAGGTCATTTGCGCGGAATTGAACCTAACAGAATAGGTCGGAATTTGAACTCGGTTTGCTGACCCCACCTTCTACCCCCCCCCACCATAACAGCTACACCAACTGCACACTCTCTCCCATATTTACCGACAGGAAAATGGTTATATTAATTTTCAAGAACACACGGAATCCATAGCTGTCTCTTTGTGTGGGAACCTGTCTATTTATCATTCTATCAACGTTGTAAGCCCGAGGTTAGAAAGCCCGTTTCACAAGCAATTAATAATGAGTTTCATTCATATAAAAGACAGCATAAGACGGGAACTTGGGATCAAAATAAACGAAACTTATCAAATGTCTTTTCTTTATTTCTCTCTCTCTCTCTCTCCACACACACACACACACACACACACACACACACACACAAACACAAAGAGAGATAAAGACACATAAAATCTTTTTTTCCTGGTATTGATTATACTGTATAACAAAATTTTGACTTTTTTGTCTTTGGTCAGTACGTGTTACTTCCTAATTGCTTCTGTCTAGAAAGCAAAAGAAATGACTGTTATTCCCTTCAAATTTTGCTTCTGTAACCTTGACATGGGCGTTCTGAAACTAAAATATTTTCCATTACACTGCTGAAGGAGAATTTTCTAGAACTTTCTAGAAATTTCAAGGACTATCGAGAAGTTTCTAAAAGTTTTGAGGATTTCTAGAAAGTTCTGGATATCAAGGATCATATAACAAAAACAAGATGTAAGCCTATATTTAGGAGCATGAATTGCGAAAAACTAATCACTTTTAAATTTTTGTAGTCTCTCTTGTGTAATCCTAGAGTAAATAAATGCTACTTTTGAATCGTATGTCGTTTTGTTCCTACTTAGCGTGAACGAGACAGTTCACATTCACCAGTTTTCCTACTGGGAATAGGTAAATTTCAAAAATAGCATTATCCTGATCACAAAAGCAAAGTTTTTCTAGGCGTAAGCAAATAGAAACTAATAGTTGCTACCCAAGGACAAAAATCTTGTAACATAGCGACTCGTACGCGCTAAATAACTCTTTGTTCTTTAAGTAAAATGATATAAATCCTATGACAAATTTGAATCATGCATTATGCTCATATAATAATAATAATAATAATAATAATAATAATAGCTGAAATGTAGTGCCGGGTTAAAAGCTGAAACCGAAGGTTTTGTCCTTGCTGCACAGGACCAATGTTTGTTGACTGGAAATTATGAAGCATACATACTAAAATATTGTGTTAGCCCAAAATGCAGATTCTATGATAAATATCCAGAAACAATCGATCATCTTGTATCAGGTTGCACAGTATTGCCACCCACAGAATATAAAACCCGGCATGACAGAGTGGGTCACTATCTGCACTGGAAAATCTGCAACTTCTACGGGAGGGAAACAGAACGAAATTGGTATGAACACTACCCAGACCTGGTTACAGAGATAGGACATGTAACAATTTTATGGGACTACACAATACACACAGAACAATCAAAGCTAACCGCCCAGACATTATTAGAGACAGCAAACAAAAAATTGCCTACTTATTGATATGACAGTCCCTGCAGACTACAATGTATCTTCGAAGATCTTCAAAAGGCTATCAAAATACAAGGACCTTGAAATCGAAATCACAAAAATGTAGCACATGGGAACATCAACAATCCCTGTTGTAGCTGGAGCCCTCGGGTTGATCGGAAAAGATTCCAGTAGAGTCATTGAGGGGATTCCTGGAAGCCCATGTTTTAAAGAAATATAAAAAATTGTTCTCACGAGTACAGCCCACAACTTACGAATGGTTTTATCCATGTAAAGTACGTGTGTGTGTGTTTTAATTGGTCAATGGAAAATGTCATGATGCCATTTCTGACCTTAGGTCTCTGGGCGGGACCCGGAAAGAAATGTAATAATGGTTGACCCTAGATTTGAATAAGATTGTAGTGTTTCGGAAAAGCAGCAGTTCTTGGGAAGAAGATTTCGGGAAAGCAGCAGTTCTTGGGGAAAAGATTTTGCGAAAGTAGCAGTTCTTGGAAGAATATTTCGGGAAAGCAGCAGTTCTTGGGAAGAAGATTCTTAATTGGATATTCCTACTTACCAATGGAATTCATCAGCATATTTATACTGATGAACTCTGTATTTAATTAATTAAATATTTAATTAACCAACGCGACAGATTCACAAAATCTACAGAAATGCTGAACTTTCTCATGTACATGATTGAACTTAAATTTTTCACCAAGAGATTATTAAAGAGACCTACTGTTAGTTAACCTCCAGTATCAGTCATCAATTACTGCTAGTGTGAACGTTCTCACCCCTCACCAAATTCCAACTAGGCCTTGCGATCTGTCAGTCTAGAATCATCTCCATTTATCAAGGTCTTCTGTTAGTATAAGTTGCGAAATTCTATCCATCTCCAGCTTACAGTACCTAGTATTTCCAGCGGTTACCTATCTGAGTACTGACCAGACTCAACGTTACTTAACTTCGGTAATCAGACGAGAACCGGTGTCTTAACGTGATATAGCCGTGAGCTCATTAGCTAAGTAATGGATTTTTTTTCTTTGTGCCGTGTCCCTTTGGGACTTAGGCGATCATCATGACTCTCCACATTTGTAAGAAAAAAAGAAAAAAAAAGAAAAAAAAAGAAATTCGTGGCAGCTAAAGGGTACGTCACCCCAATCTAGCGGGAGTGAGATTGCTCTACCCAGTGAAATTTAAATCCAACTCTGTAGTGTCGACCAGAACATTCTAGCTTTATTTTACATTTAGTCAACAATTATATCAACTAACTTTGACAGTTTTAAATGTATCCTGTTCGTTTTGAATTTTTGTATTTACATTTCTTCTTTTGCATAGGGTACCTCGACATGATGTAATGGTTAGCAAATTTGTATTGCTATATAAATTACAACTGAGTAGTGAATTCGATCCTCATTGGGTGTTCCATTCTTTCGATCTTGTACTACATCTAAGCCACACTTAGAAAATACACCCCTTTCCTTCTTTTGCATGTTATCCTAATTTGTCTTTTTAACCCTTGCTTCAATGTGGTATATATATATATATATATATATATATATATATATATATATATATATATATATATATGAACTCTCCTGCCAATTTCGACGTATGGTGATCCGACAGCCTTATTTAGTTTTTATGTTTATGTCCTATGTGACAATTCAGTCCCGCTAGTGACCTGCAAGTTCACATATTGTGCAACAGCGAGGATTTCAGGACATAGCCACAGGAATATTTGTTGATGCTTTTCGCCGTTGTCGTTCGTCTCTCTTTCGCCGGTCAATACGATTGATTTCGAAATTTCTTATACCACTCTGGCAAAAAATCTCCAGGTATTTCTATCCAGGGTAACTCTCTTAAAGTCAGTATGAGGGACGCTGACCACAGATCTGTTACTCTTTAGCTAGTCTTTATACCTGAGCCACGGTCGTCCAGATGTCCTTTGTCAACTGTCATCAAGGCTATACATGAGGACCTTAGGTATTCTGTCGTCCCTCATCCGATGTCAATGCTGTAATTCTTCAGCTCAAGTGAAACTAATGCTGATTTTCATTCTGGTGCCGAGTTACTGTCTTGGAGTGTGTGAATATATATATATATATATATATATATATATATATATATATATATATATATATATATTTTGTGTGTGTGTGTGCCTCTCTCTCTCTCTGTGTGTGTGTGTGTGTGTGTGTATCTGTATACGTCTGTACTGATTATTTGCTTCTTAATTTTGTGTTAATTATTGAGTTTACTGCATTTAATGAAAGTTTTTGTTTGGTAAACTGATCATAAATATTCCGACACATTTTCAAAGAGTTGATATTGGCTCCTTTACATTTATAAAATTTTAAAACCCGAAAAAGAAAAAAAAAGAAAGAAGTTCGAAGCAGCTAATATCTACTCTCCACGCTAGTGAGAATCTCATTGACTTTTTTTTCTTTCTCAGGATGTAGGCGATCATAGCTCTCCACATCTTCCTGTCTCTTGTAGCTCTTAATAAGTTTTGTCTTTTTGTTACTTCTCCCAAACCCCGTTGTCCCATCCATTTGCTCAAACTCATCAAGTATGTTACGCGTTGCTTTTCTCTATCCCTCTTTTCCTCAATCTGTTCTGTGAGCATCAAGTTTTCCTAGCCTTCCTTCCTCATTACATACCCCAGAAATTTTAATTGCCTCTTCCTGATATTAAGTTTCCTTTGTGAACCTTTTATCTTAATTCACCCCAAATAATGTAAAGTTATTTATCGCAAATATTAATTTACCCCATGAAATTATAATTTTAAAATATTTTTTTTTTTTATTAAATTTTTGGCACTTTTTGAAATTATAAATTTTAAATCAAAATTCGTTTAGCTTACCTTCCAACAACTCCATCCCTCAGAATGAAAAATTAGCAAATATTAGGGAGTTATTCCAATTTCGTAAGTACGGATGATATTCAAGAAATTTTAACAATTAAAAAAAAAGGAAAAAAAAATTTTTTTGGCTTGTTTATCGAGGTGAACGCGAATGTAGATCCCAGACTTAGAAAGAACACACCGGAGTCGCCCACATTTGGGGTGATCGCAAAAGTCAACCCAACGGAAGTGCAATGAAAGAGCCTCGCTCTGGGAGAATTGGGTGTCAATTTTAGTAAATATAATTTTTTTTATTTTGGAGTGAATTAATATTTTGGGGGTGAATGAAAAAAAGATCCTTCTTTTTGTTTCTATTTTCTCTAAAACCTCGTCGTTGCTTCCATGTTTGGTCCATGGTATCCCCCAGCATGATTAACTTACCCAGTGAAATTTAAATCCAACTCTGAAGTGTCGAGTAATGTATAATACGGTAAATCAAACATAGAAAATTTAATCAGAAAAAGAAACTGATCTTTCTACTTAACAAAAGCAAAAAAAATATTTGAAGTATATTTTACTAGACTGCGTAGAAATAATGAGAATTCACTTTTGGGTATGTCTATGCAGTTGGTCAGTAATTAGCAGTTTGGTCATACTAACCGTTTCTCACTTTCCTAATCTTTAGCGTGCCGTCTTTCTTCGACTGACAAAGGTTACAATAAATATGGTAGTAGTGACGTCATGGTTATTCATCAAAATAATTTGGAAAATATAATAAAGATTGCATTTCACACTCAAAATATTCGCTACCTCAAAGAAAGTGATTGTAATAACAAAAGTTGCTAAGCCAAAATTGTGTGCGTGAGAGAAAGAGAGAGAGAGAGAGGGGGAGAGAGAGACAGAGAGAGAGAGAGAAGAAGGAGGAAGCAATGGAATAAAAAATGAATTCAAATTGGTATAAGGCTCTTGATCATATTGAAAGGTGTTTGGTGGAGTCTGAAAGAGAGGAGTAGAAAAAAGAAGAGTGAGAGAGATAGAAAAAGAAAGTAAGAAAGAAGAAAGATAGGAAAGAGAAAAAGAGAGAAAGAAGAGTGTGGAGGGAGAGAACGAGGAGAAACAGAAAGAGAAAGAAGGAATAGATTTCTTTTTATGTGCCATGTCCTTTCAGGACGTAGTCAGTCATGGCTCTCCACCTCCCTCTATCCCTTGCAACTCTCAGCAAGCTCCTACCCTCTTCTTACTCCCCCAGACCACGTTCTGTCATCCACGTCAGGTATATCACGCGCTGCTTTCTCGTGTCTCTCTTTCCCTCTATTTGACCCGTGAGTATCAGATTCTCCAAGCACACCTTCCTCATTATGTGCCCCAGAATCTTCAGCTGCCTCTTTCTGATGTTAAGTATAAGCCTTCTTCTTGTTTGTAACCTAAGACCTCATCGTTGCTCACATGTCATATATGAGAGAAAAAGAAGAGGAGAGAAAGAAGAAAGAGAGAAGAAGTTAGAAAGAAAAGACAGAAGGAAAAGAAAGAAGAAATAAACAAGGAAGAAAAAGATAAAGAAGAGCAAGGCGAAGGAGAGAAAGAAAGAAAGAAACGAGAAAGATAGAAGAGAGAAAGAAGAGAAAGGCAAGGGAGAGAGGGAGAAAGAAAGAAAGAAAGAAAAAAAAGAAAGAAGCGGAAAAGATACATGTGAGAAAGAAGAGAGCGACACAACAAAAAGATCGAAGCTCTATAAAAAAACAGTGAAATTATTTCTACAGAAATAACTCATACATATTTATTCATATATTAAAAAGCGCCTGCAGTGGTTCATTTAGTCCCACTGAATGTCGTTAGTGACTCAGTGTTGTGGTACTGTGTCAGACAAAGCTTAACTTAGTAAATATGTACATATTTATATTAGGTGTTCCCAATGAGATGGAATACACAGTTGGAAACCGGTTTTTCTTTGGAAAATTTTACATATATCTATTTGAAATATTTTGTATGTAACATAATTTATCAATTTTATAAATTGTTAGACATTAGTTCGTTACCCACCGGGTGCCTAATGAATTTGGCTCTTTGCTAAAGTCATCTTAGCCCAATGATTTACGCAGACAAAATATTTCATCTCCCTACCAAAGATTAAAAATCTTCAAAATTAGATATAATCAACTCCACTCATCATTCATTTCTGGTATTTTGGTTTTCTCCAGAACTCGTAGTCCTGGGCATGACGATAAACTACATCCGGCAGCAAGGCATCTGATCGGGTGACATTAATCCATTAATAGCCTACAAGTTTGTAAATAAATCTTACTTTCTCTCCCTCGCCTTTCTCTTCTTTTCCTCTTTCTTCTTTCTCACCCTCTCTTCTCTCTCTTTCTTCCTTGTTTGTTTCCTCTTTATCTCTCTTCTCTCTCTTTTCTTTCTAACGCTTTCTTCTTTCTCTCCTCTTGTTTTTCTCTCATTCGTCTGTTCCCTCTTTCTCTGTTTCTCTTCTTTTTCTCTTTCTTTCTTTCTTTCTTTCTTTCTTTCTTTCTTTCTTTCAAAACATAACTTCAACTAAACTACAACATAAAACACACACATGTCACCGCCTCTAGTAATCACGTCCATACAAACATATTTATGCACAAAAGCTGAGAATCATCTACCATGCATTCAATTGTGAAACCAGAATAACATACATTACTAATGTGAGGCCCCATTATACGATCACGGTATTTTCACGGCAGAATTAAACCATCACAGCAATATTTAAAGGTAAGTTTAGGTAAACTTTAAAACTTTTCAAACTTTATTTAACGGTATATAGTAACTTGAAAATAAAATACACATACATATATACTGCATTTCCATTTATTTACAATAATTTTGTAATGTACTAAGTATTTTAGGCCACGAAAAAGTGCTTCAGATTAAGGAATTTAACGGGCGACCTCCTTACTATTAGTCCGTTAAATTGAGGTTCCACTTACTTCAAAACTCCCAAGAAAATTAAATTTCGGCATTATATGATCCATAAGAAGTTGATATTCCATTAAATAAATAAATCAACCAAATAATAAATCCAGAATTTGTCTTTGCATTGGGAGCGGACCAAAGATTGCATTCATCTCCTTAATATCCATTTTTTTTAATACCATGTCCGTTCTGAACATAACCGATCATGCTTATTGG